CTTCAACCTCTCTCCATGACCCCATCTCTGCCTCCATCCGCTTCAACCTCTCTCCATGACCCCATCTCTGCTTCCATCCGCTTCAACCTCTCTCCATGACCCCATCTCTGCCTCCATCCACTTCAACCTCTCTCCATGACCCCATCTCTGCCTTCATCTGCTTCAACCTCTCTCCGTGACCCCATCTCTGCCTCCATCCACTTCAACCTCTCTCCATGACTCCATCTGCCTCCATCTGCTTCAACCTCTCTCCATGTCCCCATCTCTGCCTCCATCCTGATGTGGGTGCTTCTCTGGATAAGGTCTCGCATTGCTCGTCTCCCTTAATGGTCCTAGGGTCCTTTGTTTGTGGACTGTAGGATTAACTACTCCCTGTTTTTCTTACAAAACTTCTACCTCTACAATTGTGACAGTCGTAATTAGTCATGATAACTATTACTCACTATTAAATCCTAAGAATCTTATCCCCATCTCTTTTAACCAAACCCATCTAGACAAGTTGAAAACTATTCAGTGGGGACTCTTTATTCCCCCACATACTCTTAAACTAAACTCCCTCTTGAACCCTTGTTAGTCACTTCGTGCCTTTGTCACTTCGTGATAAAGTACCTCATTTTAGGTAGCCAATATTTAAGTTGCCTGTTTCTATCTACCCTGTGTACAAAAGGGATAGTACTATTACTTGATATGAAGACTCCTTCCTTCTTTTTTGGTATTTAGAGTTACTACCTCCATGAGTATAGGTTACCTTCATACTTTCATAAATTCAACAGACATGAGGACAATGGAATAAATGCAAAAAAAAAAAAAAAAACTCTTACCTCTTTTCTGATCATGACATCATTTTTGTAATTGCTGTTGTTGGCATATCTAAGCTTTCCTGTGGGGAGTGGGAAAAAATTCAATCTATAATAGTACAAACTCCTAAAAAACAAATAAATGACATTAAGAAATTTTTTTAATTTATTAAGACTTTCTCTCTCCTAGTATGGTGCTGTGGGGTTAATGTGCTGGGCTGCAATGTCAGCTTGAACCACAAGATTGACGGTTCAATCTCACCAGCCGCCCCTTGGAAACCCTATATGGGCTCAGTATGTGTCAGAACCAACTTGACAGCACTTAACAACAAGTATGAGATAGATCACTAGAAGAAGATGAGGGCTTCTACTCCTACAAAGATTTAAAGCCTCAGAAACCCATCAATTGGAACTGACTGCAGGCACTTAACAGCAACAGTAAGTATAAGATCACGGTAATCTCATTTGTGTCAAAGTAGAACTGTACTCCATAGGGCTTTCAATGCTGATATTTTGGAATGACTTTTCTTCTAAGGCGCTGAGTGAACTCAAGCCACGAATCTTTCAGTTGGCAGTCCTGATCTTTCAGAATCAACTTGAAGATTAATGTTAGATGTTAAGGGCACTCCATAAATATTTAAGTTGGTACAAGCAGAGGCTAGTCAAATTTTAATATTCCTTGCCTACATTATGGGAGGAACATATTTGAGGCCCATTTTTCTTAAGCTATATCTAACTGGAAAAGAAATCTGAAAAAGGTATTAATATTTCTATTTAAATTTGTTATACATCTGTACTGGTGCTGAGTGCTTTACCTAAAGTATCTAATCTGAAAAGCAGCCCAATGAAGTAGGTTTTATTACCACATTCATTGGTGAGAGAGCAATGAATGGGTAATAAAGTTGCCCAGGATCACACAAATAACTTGTCCAGGATCACACAAGATCCATATCTGATCTATTTTCTTCTAATACTCAGGCTTTTTCCACTATCCCAAAATGTTTTCTTTTCATTATTTTACTTCAAATTAATGTATATGATTACAGTAATACTTATGCTTACTTCTGACTACTAATAAACATACAAACTATGTTCTGGTTCTGGATAAAAGTTGACAAGTTTTTAGCAGATTCATATTTAATTTTAAACTATTGTGACTTTTGTAATCATAGTTCTCCTCATAGCTAATCAGTTGTTCAGGTGCAATGTGATCCTGATCCTCTAAAATATTAAGATACCCTAGTGTAATGGACTTGGTTTGATTTGGGTTATTAGGTGTACACCTTAGAAATCATCTTTGTGACTCATTTACTGTTATGCAGAACAGTATGGTAGATAAATGGAATAGAGCCACTGGCCTGGCACAAAATTCCCTGATAGTATCAAGGAACTTCATGTGTATTACTGGCTAAAAGTAGTATGAACAAGCTGGATGATGTTCACAAGTAAGGGGAATGAAAATAGCATCACATAAGAAAAGCACAGATGAAAAATTTAAAACTGCAAATAGGCTTCAAAAAAAATCAAGTGAAAAAAATTCCATTATCTTTTAACTCCATTTTCCCATTAACTTTGTGAAACTCCTTTGTATTTAGCTCCTTAAAACCAAAATTAGAAGATAAATGAGAAGGACAATGGAAGACAAGGTGATTTAGGTTTATAAATAATTACAGGTCTGAAGTTACCTTGATTTCCACCTGAAATGCCCTAGTATGTGATCCTCCCTCTAATTTTTCTTTCATGTTATCATGGAACTTTGTAACTCTGAGGGAACTTAAAAGGCCTTACTCATTACTGTATCCTTAATTTTGTATATAGCATTTTCTGAGCACATAATATGCATTCAAAAAAAAAAAAAAAAAAAAAACTAGCCAGTTGAATTGTCCTTGTTCTAGACGATAAAGTTAAATATACAATAATACTCTCTACAGAGACAGAGCTGCCAAAAGACAGAATTTGCTATACATTTGTAAGAAGCTGGTAGCTTCACCTTGCCCCTTCTCATGCTGCTTTCCCAGTCTAACTGTCGTTTTCCTCAGAGGACGTGAAATACCTAACACTATCTCAATATTGGCTGCGAACCTTAAGGTCAGCTGTTGGAAACTACCAGCCGCTCAGCGGGAAAAAGATGAGGCTTTCTACTTCCGTAAAGATTTACACCCTCGGAAACCCTGTACAGGGTCACTATGGGTCGGAACCGACTCGACGGCACTTAACAACAACATTTCAATATTGGAGCCCTGGTAGTGTAGTGGGTTATGCCTTGGGTTGCTAACCTCGAAGTCAGCAGTTCAAGTCCATCATGGGCTCCGCAGGAGAAAGATGAGGCTTGCTACTCCCATAAAGAGTTACATACAGCTAGGGTCGCTATGAGTCGGAAGCGACTTGGCAGCATTTACTCCATCTCAAGATTCAGTTCCTAGCGTCACATCCTCTACGAAGTTTTCCCTGGCTCCCTCTTTTGGACTCCTAATGCGTCTTGTAAAGTTTAAGCACCTAAATTCATCACCACATTCGTTTGTTTACATGTCTCACTAACTCCTGCAGAACCAGTCTTATTCTTCTTTGTAGACCTGCTGCCTTACACACACTGCCTAAATGAATAAAATGAAGGAATAAGGAGTCTGAGAGTTATCGACCACCAACAGAATTTTAAGCATCCATAGGTCCACTGCTTGGTAGAAGTGTTGTTAGTAACGTCCCAGTGTTAAGTCGCTAAAATAGATGACTTTAAAAGGACTGGTGCACTGATTTCAGGATGCCAATTATCTGAGGTTCAACTTTTCAGAATGTGACAGAACTCGCTTTAATGAATGAACACCTACCAATCAATCGTTATTTTATTCATAAAAATAGTTTAGGCCTCCTATGCCCAGACTCCTGGGATACACACTGGACTGCTAACCACAAGGTCGGCGGTTCAGGCTCACCAGCCGCTTCTCCCTATACAGGGTCGCTATGAATCGGAACCGACTCCATGGCACACAACCACCACCACCATATTCTTAAACGCCAATGCGTATTTGCTCAAGCATTAGCCTCAGGTCCCATCCGACACCCCGACGCCCGCCGAGGCTCTCTGGCTCCACCCCTCCTCCCTTGCCCTCCGCCACCTCTCTGTCTCGTCTCCCTTTCCCCATCATCCCGCAAGCGGCCTCGCCTCTGCTCACCGTCTGGTCGAAACTCGAACTCCAGAAACTCGTGTCCAAACTTGCCCTTGTGCCCGACATAGTAGCGCAGATAGAAATCACTAGCCAAAGACATTTTTGTGCCCGGTGAGAACGCCGAAGATTCGGCCAACGTGTAGCCAGGCGCCTGACAGTGACGTCAATCCGCCCGGGATAAGTGCGTCACTGCCGACAGGTACGACTCTTCCGCCTCCGCCTGCCCGCTTATCCTAGGATAGTGTAACGGTAGGAAAGCTGAAAAGTGGACTTAAATTTTCCGAGGAACAGAAACATATTAAAATAAAAACCAAATTAACCCATTATATTAGCCGAATACAGAAGTGTAAAAAGCATTACATTTTTGTTTGAGCTTACCAGTCGGTTTTAATTTTAGTTTATCTAATTCTCATGGCGGAGCTCTTGGTTGGTGCATGCCAATAATAACGCCAAAAATTGGAGGCTCCAGACCATCCAGCGGCACCGCGTTAGAGAGGCCTGACGATCTACTTCTTTTAAAAATCAGTTATTAAAAACCCGTGGGAGCACAGTTCTAGCTGGAATGGATTCCAGGCAAACTGGTAAATCCCAGTGGCAACACCGTGAAGTGGGTGTGGCTTTTTTCCCATTTAATATGTGAGGTGAATTAAAACAAAGCCTCGAATCCAGTGGAAACTGGCTGCATCAATTTCTCCTGATTTCTAACAAGACACTTGTGTTTTAAGTCTATTATTGTTGTTGTCAGAGTTTAGAAGACTATTGTTAAACGCCATTGAGTCAGTTATGACTCAGGAACCCTGTTTAGGGTTTCCAATTAGCAGCTGGTGAGTTTGAACTGTTGACCTTGTAATTTGCAGTCTAGTGTTTATCCTATAGCGCCGCACCAGAATTCCAGAAGACTACAATAAACACAAGATAGAAGGAATCCATCAGAGGAGAGATCTGAAGTTTAAAAGGCACATTATTATCTGAAAGTCACAGTATATATCAAAAACGCCCAATGTGCTTCATCCATTCTTCAATCGTTAACCTTTAGTGGTCTGCTCTTTTGGCACTTAAGTTAGGCTCAAAGAATGATTTAACTCACATTTCTTAGCAGATAAAATTAAATTGGGGAAATGAATAAACACTCCACAGACAGAGAGATGGTTTTAAAGGAGGAGGGAAGATAGAGTGAGCTTTGACAATCTATTTTTTCAAGTAGTATTGATCACTTTTCTGTTACCAACAGAGTGGTTTCTGTCTGTTAAACGACCCCTTAACCTTCATTGGGACTTATTACAAAGAGTGTTGTTGTTAAATGCCATCAAGTCGGTTCTGACTCATAGGGACCCTGTATAGGGTTTCCGAGGAGCAGCTGGAGAGTTTAAAATGCCCATCTTGTGGTTCAAACTGACCTTGCAGTTCAGTGCTTATCCTACAGCACCACACCAGGACTCTAGTAGAAACCTGAAAGTTTATCCTAATTTTACCTCTGAGGAGCTCTAGTAGAGTAGTGGTTACGAGTGAGGCTGCTAACCTCAGGGTCAGCAGTTCGAAACTACCAGCTGTTCCATGGGAGAAAGATGAGGCTTTCTGGTCCCATAATGATTTACAGCCTTGGAAATCCTGTACAAGCTCACTATGAGTCGGAACCGACTCCAAGGCATATAACCACCACCAGCAATCTTTATCAAGTCACTATTTCTAAGCCTGTTTTTTTTATCAACCAAGTGGACATATTACAATTGGGTTTTTACTAAACTCACAGAATTGTTGAAAGGATCAAATATGATAATGTTGTAAAATAAGCTTTGAAATGTATAAAACATGTTGTGTGTCCTATATACCAGAAACAGTTGTTATTGTTGTTAGGTGACATTGAGTCAGTTCCAACTCATATGGCCTGTCTAGGGTTTCCGAGGAGCCACTAGTGACTGTGAACTGCCAACCTTGATGTTCAAACTGACCTTGCAGTCTGGTTCTTATCCTACAGTGCCAGACCAGAGCTTTTTGCATTTATAGTCTTAAAAAGGAAGCTAACATGGACAAATAAATATTAGCACAAGAGAGCAATTGATAGAATAAAGAATCTGTAAAAATTGCTAAAGCAAATCATTCTATTGGGAAGTAGGGGAAGTTGAAGAAATGGAAATCTCAGGAAAGGCTTATAAAAAGAGATGCTATTTGAATTTGACTTTGGCAAATGTTCAGTGAGATGGAAAAAGCATTACAGGCATAAAATGCCCTTAGCAAAGTTGGTGGTATGGAAATGCATGTATTGAGAAAACAAGCACATAGCTAGAACATCAGATTCATGGAAGTGGAACGACTAGAAAGGCAGACTGGGCTAAGGCATTACTGCATAACTGTTCATGTAGACAGATTACTCAGTCCTTGCTATAGGCCACCATTAGGGAAACTACATAATACTCATTAGTCACCGTCCCTTACCACAAACCAGTCAAGTTTGCCCAGGACTCTGAAGGATTCCCTGTGTTGTGAGACTTACAATTTTAAAACTGAATGTCCCAGGCGAACTGGGAGGATTTAGTCCAGCACTTACATTAAAATATACACAGAAATTTGATCAAAATATTCAATTGTGGTTATTAGCGGCCAGTAAGTTGACTTCACCTTGCACAAAGGAATGAAAAACACTGCCTGGTTCTGCACCATTCCATAATCAGGTGCAGAATAGTCCTTTGGCATCCATAGATTTCTTAGTGGCTGCTTTCCAGCAGTAGATCACCAGGCCTTTCTTCCTAATCTTAGTCTGGAACCTGTTCAGCATCCTAACAACACAAAAGACTCTAGTGAGAGATGGTTGGTAGCTGCACACAAATGGCATTGGCCAGGAATTGAACTGGGCCTCTGGCACGGGAGGAGAATTCTATCACTGCACCACCAATACCCTCAAACTAGCTCTTATTGTCTCTGAAAACGTAGGCTGTGATTGATTTGCTTTTATTTTTTGGTGAAATATGAAAATGTATTTACTTAATTCTTCATATTTAAATCCAAAAATATGCCAAAATACTTGTCACTTGAATAATGGTAAGCATTACAAATTGATAAATATTTGTGTTTGGATGTCTTTCTTGATGTTACACAGCAGTGATGTTGAAATGTTCTATGTGGTCATTAAGCACTGAAACTGAGGAGCTGAATTTATAGTTTTTAATATTAAATTCTAATTCATGTTTAAATAGTCACATATGGTTAGCTGCTACCATGTTGGACAACACTTTTACATAAAGGCCTTTTGCATACATTTTGAGTTGGGCTTGTTGTTGTTGTTAGGTGCTACAAATAGTAAAAATATTTTGTGGATGTTTCATAATCTCTGTTGCCATATGATTCAAATTAGAGCATGCTCACTAATATCACCACAGTTTACTTATGAAAATAAATGTTTAGATTGCTTAAATGAAGCCAAATGAAGTTTTTCTTTGGACTATTATTTCTGCTTTTGCTTTTAGAACCTAGCAAGAAATCGAACGACATACTGCATTAGGCGAATCTGCGAAACAAGATTTCTTTAATGTTCAAATGCAAAGCTGTCAATTTAAGGATTAAGGTGTGCCTGATCCAAACCAGGGCATTTTCAATAATTCATATGCATGTGAAAGTTGCACAGTGAATAAGGCAGACCTAGATAACAGAATGTTGTTGTTAAGTGTTGTTGTGTAGGTTCCAACTCACAGTGACCCTGTATAGGGTATCTGAGGGTGGATTTGAACTGTGGACCTTGCAGCTCAAACTGACCTAGCTGTCCAGTGCATTACCCTGCAGTGTCTCATCAGGACTCCAGATAAACTCAGTCTTTATCCACCATCTCAAGTTTCTCTTTGCTATAACAGACTTGCCGATAGAAGTTTAAAGAAGCTCTGATAGTTTAGTAATTACAAATTGGTCTGCTCATCTCAAGGTCAGCAGTATGAAACTACCAGCCATTCCATGGGAGAAAGATGGGGCTTTCTGCTCCCATAAAGACTTACAGCCTCGAGAACAAACAAGATGGAAGATCGGGTGGAAGTGCAGTGAGGAGCTCCGTCACCAACAATACAGAATACCAGACCAAGCAGGTTCAGGGGATGGTGTCAGAACTCTAAACCACATATAAAGGAATGTTTAGAAGGTTGGAAGGCTTAGAGTAGGGGAATCTATAGCACAACCAAGAAATCCATTGCTTTCTAATCCAAGACGCTCAGCTGCTCCTGGAGCTGCTATCTTGGGTGAGACTGACCGGGGAAGGATCAGAGCAGGCACAGACACGTGACAGAACCATGGAGATAAAAGTGTTGGCTTTTATTTTTTGTATTTGTTCATTGGTCACTTGTTGGCTGCATACCTCCATTCTGGTGACCAGAGGGAGTGCCTGAGCAAGTGAACACCCC